TGACACATTTTTATTATTTAAATTAATTTTACACATTGTAAGGGTGGAAGCAGTAGCTGATGACTCAAGCTGTTTCATTAAATTTACTAACAATACAGTACTACATACAGTATAATAACATCAGTTCAATAAACTAATAAATACATTACCTGAGTGTACTCTCAGTATTGTGGCAGTATCACTATGACCTCGTTGTTCAGCAATATCAAAAGCAGTCCTACCATACTATACAAGTAAACATTGATTAACATGATAGTACAATGTTATCACAATCAAACTAAAAACCAACTTTAATTGTTGGTCTGTCTTCAATACTCCATAGTATTGAGTATGTTAGAGACAGTGGAGGTACATTTAGTGTACAAGTATACATTTTACTGATATAAATAATTACATGTACAATACTACTAGTCTACATGTACATGTACATGTATATTTACACTGTTGCAGTATCAATAAAATGTTCTTGGTTATAGCCATAAACTCAGTTACTATACATGTAGATTGAGAAACCTTCATGACTGCATGGGACAATTTTTAGGGTCATTCAATTTTGATGCTTGATCAAAAGATGTAATATTAATTTAAGTTGATGTCAATACAGACACTGACCACAAGGGACCATAGTGTCCTAGTGGGAGGTGTCTGTAAATCAGATACTGCCTCAGTAGGTAAGTGATATAATTACATCAATTTGAGTGGGTGGATCACATTATATATTCATGCACAGTATAACTACATTCTAAGTATGTCCTCCATATCAAAGAAAATGTCAATGCCCACTGGCCTCTTGTAAGTCTATCTGACATTATTATACTATTATACATGTAACATTATAAAGTATTACCATGTAGAAATGTAATTGTTCTGAAACTTTAAATTTTGAAAAACGCCACAAAAAAAAATTTTTAAAGTTTATAAGTTTAAAAAATTTTTTTAAAGTTTTTTTAAAAGTTTTTTAAGTTTGAAATTTTTTTAAATTAACAAAAATTCATTTCCATACTTTATTTAAAATTATTAAAAATCTCAATTTTTTTCAAAATTAAAAAAATTAAAAATTAAAAGGTCAATACCATCAAAAATTATAAATTTTTCTATTTTCAAATCTTTTGAGAATCTGCACCTGAAAAAATTATAAAATTTCGATTTTTTAGTATTTTGTACCCATATATTTCTGATACATTTTTAAAAATTTCAGGACATAAAAGTTTCTCGCTATACTGTAATCAAAAATTTGTGACATAAAATAATTATTTTAGTAAAAATGCTTTCCATAAAGTGATACAGTAGAGTACATTAAGCTATACATGTACATGTACACACACTGTATGAGATATACAGCACCTGCGGTTACTTTGATCCACCCACTCAAAAGGATATACATGTACAATCACTATTGGAGTATAATTAATGATTATACTTACATCATTAGAGGCAGTGACATCTGCTCCTTTTTCAAGGAGCATTGTCACTACCTGTGTGTGTCCATTATAAGCTGCTAATATGAGAGGAGTGGCTCCACCCTATAAAAAGAAGACAGGATAATAAAGACACTAACACTACACAGTCAAGTCTCATATCATGTTGTGTACTGTAGTAGTCTAATATAATAATAATGTTAATACTCATTATAATGTGTTATACACAAAATGAACATTTATTAATTTTTACACAGAAACACAAAAGTTTCAGTCACACTAGAGGTCAGGTCATCAAAGCATGCATGTAGAGAAGTATGGGCCACTCACAAAAGGATTATATTCATGAAATTCTGTCTTCTCTCTCATTTGAGGAAGTTTTTAGTTTTTAAAATAACCCTGTGACATTTTTTATATGACTGCTTCTTAATGGCTTTTAATTATTAATAAAA